TATGTGCAGTATATGGTATTAACATATAATAAACATATAGGGATAGGATATAGTAGTTACATTTGTAAAGCTTGGGTAAAAATATTGGTATTATGAGATCAGAGCAGACAGGCCTACTTTACATTAAAGTACTCCATCCTGCTGTTATTTGAAAATCCATGTTTGATTATTCCTCTGCCAAGGGGGAGGAATTGAGAGGAAAAAAAAAAAAAAACTACAAAGCTGCATTCCCTGAGATCTGCTAGCGTGGTGGGTTATGGGCAAAAATGAGCCTCTATAAAATCGGGTGCAGCTTTGGATCACTGTCTTCAAAAATTCCAAAATAGGCTATTGGCCTTTGCAGAAGATGTGCTCTCCACGTAGGCTTCTAGTTAATTTTATACATTTTCTTCACTAATTTGTTGTGACCACTCTCCATCCCCCACACAAGCTGCTTCACAACACAACTCTCCACATATCCTCACTCGGTATTCTCCTGAGAGGTCAAGCAGCAAGACTGGTTTCAACAGTTAAGCATGTATATAATGAATAAATGGTTGCTGGTTGGAGCCAAGGTAGCATTAATTCCTTTCAAGCTGATTTTGCTCAAATACATGAATTATGAACCAAAAGGCCCTCTGTGGCAAACAACAATTTGTGTGCTGCAAAGCTAAAGATAGCACCAACAGCAGGTCAAGCTAACCTCCCCTGCACTGAGCCTACAGTGTTGTAAAACCACAGTAGGTTCAATGAAGAGGTGGTTCAGAGAGCTTATTTAAATGTAATGTAAGACTGAACGCATGCCCATACAGTATGAAAGAAGTGAGGCAAGTGATGCATATATTAATAATGTATGGCACAGTTGGGGTGCTGGCAATGACAAAATAGCTATTTAAATGGGTGAGACAATGTGCTAGCTTGCATGCTGGGATATGAATGTATGAAGTTGAGAGGTAGCAAAGCATTGCAAAATGTTTGTTTGGTAACTTTTTCTAAAGGTTCACTCATTCTCAACTCTACCATACATCTCTCATGTTTTCATGATTTAGTTGAATGGAAGGATTTGTTTGTTGTTGTTTTTTTCAGGACTGTGTGCTGTATAGTAAAAATGACTTTCTGTTATGGAAAATAATCTTCAGGCCTACTTTTGAGTCTAGACATATTGTTCGTATAAGAGTTTAAGGTGACTTTAGAGGAGTGTTACGTCTTTGAAGACACAATTTATTAGCATTCATAGGTACAACCCCGCCATCCACCCCTGCCCTTCTCCCAGCGCTTGGATCAAAACGATGCCAACAGCAGGGCAGAGGGACGTGTGTGGCATTCTTTTTGACTTCACATCTATGAGAGACCTCATTTGCAGCTCAGGTGTCATGTGCAAATTCTTTCAAAGAGGTAAAGTCATGGAATACTCAGCTTATCTGCAACGCTTTGATGACAAGCCTCTTTGCAAGAGATTGGGTGTGATTTGAAAGATCAATACATCAGGAATAAGGAGAATGCACGTAGATGTGCATATGCTTGACCTTGTTTTGTCTTTTACAAAACAAGGTCAAGCATATGCACATCTGCAAGGAAGTCCTGGAAGTTTCAATAGAAACTTCCAGGACTTCCTCTCTCCTCAAATGTTGGCTGGTACAACAGATTTGTGATGTGGATGCACATCTGTGGTTGACAGTGAAAACTCTTTATTCAAGTAATTTCTTGAATATTATTTAGTATTTCTCATTTCTTATTAAAGTATTATCCATCCATTTTTATCATTTGGCATAAATGACCATGCATAATGACTGATGAAAGTAATTTTGAATCAGATGTTCTCAGGATGAGCTCTTGCCTTTCCTAATGCATCTGATATTTATTTGCTTGCATGCAGCTTGTTTTATATGAAGGAAGTGACCACCACAGCAGAGGTATTGTTCCACTCTAGCAATTTTTAGGTGCTGAGAAATAAAAAGGAAAAGTAAGGAAAAGAATATTATTTTTTTCAGTGTGCCATGTTTCACTCTCTTACATCAACCATAATCCAGAGTGACAGCTGTTGATGACCTACGCCACATGTATGCCAACAGCAGCGCTTCAATTATACAGCATGAAATTGTAACTGTCTGAATTCCAGTTGAACTTTTACAACTCCATGCCTGTTTGCACTTGAACAATGTTAAGCCCACCACGAGCCAGTGTGGGCACTTGGGCTGCCGTAGGTGGGTTTACGCAGAGACGGAGAACACTGCTTGCAGGCTCTGGAATCTCATTAAGTATATTGTTTTGCCAGAATGAAAGCAGAGGTGTACTTGGCAACACCTAACCGCTTCAACCAAGGGAGTCAGGAAATCTCTGTGGCTTAGTAACATCTCTCATTGCAGAAAGAGCTTGTCAATGGGATTTTGGGAGGATATGCTGCTGCCTGTCACCGTGACAGAGGCAGAACTCACTTGACACAACAACATAACACTTTGCCTCTAAAGGAAAAGTTTGTTTTCTCTTTTTTTCACTGATTGTAGTTTTTATTAGGAATTGCAGCTTAACATTCCCATGAATTTGTTGTTTCCTAATGAACAATGCGGTCATGGTCGTTGATTAGTTAGCTTGAAAGGTTAATTTATATTTTGCATGGCAAATATTGTCTCAAACATTAATTTCCAGCTAGTAGGAAAAAAGTGAGAAATTGACGTTTACCTGTGCTTAACTGTATAAACTTCTTAATTGCTACAAGATACACGTTACAGCAATTATTGTTGTGTGTGTTCTTGTGTTCTTAGTTGTATTGAATTCAGCAAACATTTCCACTGTGAGGCAGATTCCAGTCACTGGAATAAACAATGATTGCATAGAGGTGGAAATGATTACTTAGGCCTTTCTTACTTTGGACAAATCAAGATTGTATCCAGATTGATTTTAGAAAGGCCTATACACTAAAAAGCAACATGAAATCACATTTTGCACATTTGATCCAAACCACGTTTGGTGGTTAGGTGGTTTGAAATGTGATTACAATTGGATTTGTTCAGATGTGTCTCACTGTGGACACTTGAGATGCACAAATCGCATTTAAAATGAGCTTTTGCACCACTCACTCATAACAGTGGTGTCAAATCTACAATGACAGATGTGCTGAGAAAATCCATGCAGCTATGCACCAAACATTATGGAGAACATATTGATGGGTTTGTGTACAGGTTTGGTGATGTTTGGAAATACAAATCTCACCTGATTACTCTCAGTCTGTGTCTACAATCTGGAAAGAAACCCCAACATTTTCTGAAAGAGTTTCAGTATTCTTAAGTCAACATTCAGACACTGTGCATGGAGAAAGATTCCAAAATTGCAATGCCTATCAATGAGTTTTCTTAAAAAGCATATTGGCTTAACATGAGTTATCATTAAATAGATCATAGTTTATGACTGAATGGAACACAGATGATCTGAATTTATAGAGACCCAGATTATTTGGGATGGAGGCAGAAATTGGCTCACCGTTAGAGTGAGTGGGGACATGTATCATCCCTACAGCACTGCAAAAAGTGATCATTTGAAAAACTTGATGCGAAAATGTGTCAGAAACAGTGTCCACAGTCTAGATGGACCATGACATAGAGGTGAAGAAATGTAATCAGTTGCGCTCTGTTTATCTGTGCCAAGGATGAGGACCCCACTTCAGTGTCCCCATTCTGAGCAGCAGGTGACGTCTTAGATCTTGAAATCCAACTTTATTTCATCTTTTCCCATATTGACAGTGTTTGTAGATATATTAAAGTATCTTTATTCATTTGAATTAAGCCAAAACAATTAATTTACTATTGGTACATGTGTAATAGTTTTACATTGCAGCACAATGAGCCATTAGCTTGAGTGACACTGACAAAGTCATTAGAAGTACTTTCTCCTGCTAAGAATGATCAGAAAACTGCAGACTGTGTACTCTGCAGATTGTCTAGGGTATCCATTTCTGGTTTCTAATAAAAATACTTTCACTTCTGTTCATTTGGAGAAACATAAAAAAAATGTGAACAGACTAAAAAGTATCAACATGGCTACACTGAGTTGAGAATATATTTGTTTTCCATAATTTTATGTGAGCAAACCATTTAAAGAAGCTTCACATCTCTGGAGCTACTGGCAGCTTTTAATGGAGATACTGCAAAGAATGGCTATTTTCAGAGATCAAGCCATCTGCTTTTTTGTTATGCTCGACTACTGCGACACAGTGCTTATTATCCAGTATCGAAGTGACACTATTTAATTTGGTGTGTCTTGTTCGCTGCCATAAGATTGTGGCTCCTTCTGGTTCATCCAGTGAGATTTGGCAAAGACGGGTGCTTGACAGATGCAGATCTTTAGAGGAGCCTTGTTTTTGCAGAGACGCATTATTCTACAAGAACAGTAGAAATTGTAATGGGACTTCAAAATTGCTTTTTGTTTGTGCACCTCACCTGATGCAGCCTGAAGCCAGAACACACAGTTTTTGCCTAAATAAACACTCTGAAACCAGCTTGTGTCTACCTTTCTCTCCCTCACTTTCGGTGCTTTTATCTGCTCTCATTAGGATGAGAAGCTGCAGTGGGCTCTGGGAGGACATGTGCTATGACATGGTCACAGAATTTTAATGAGGAGATTTATTAAGAGCTGTATTATTTCACCATGCACATTTCCTCCCTTTATGAAGCTAAGAGATTTGGTCAGGGAGGCCTCTTCCGAAACATCTTGGACCTGAGTCAGCCTCTGTTTGACCTTTTTAGATACATCTTTATATGTTTCCCCTTAACTGAAAAAAATCCACTTTGAGTGATGTAATCATCAAATCGGAAAGCAAAAGGCTCTTTTTTTTTTCTTTTTTTCTGCCCCTCCTACACTCTAAAGTGCACTTTCAATATAACCGTGTGCTTTTGGCACCAGATACCAAAACTGTTGCTTAATTCAGCATTTTTATTATTTTACTGTTGTTGTTTTTAGTATGACCAGATGAACATAACTGCCTATTTCTAACAGTGGGGTTTTTTGTTGTGCACCTTCTGTTTTAGGTCACCTAACAGACTCAACAGATGTGATTGAGAACCACATAGAAGAGTGGTTGTATGAATAAAGATGAATCAATATGAGTTTGGATACCTGACCTGACCACACAACAGATGCTTTTACTGTGAGTACAAATATAATGCACAAGAAAGTATAGTCATTCAAGCTATAGTGGTGGAGTCTAACTTGTTAGTTTACTTAAGTTCTGTACTTAAAGTAGGAAGAGAATATTTCCCCACCACAACCACACGTTGCCAACAAAAATTTACTTTTGAACCCTGCCAACTCTCAGAGCTCTGCATCAAATTAATCCTTCTTTGAGGTTCACTTTTGCTTTGCATTCAGTTTCTATTAATCTCCCTCGTAGCCTCTTCCAACATTTTTATTTTTTTATTTTTTTGTATAGGCAGAATTTCTTCAGTTATTCATATTTTCCACCATTTCTTTGAAAATACTTAAAAACAGAATGTTAACTGAGCTTTGATTTTCCCAGGAGGTGCAAATTGATGATAGAGTTTCTGGGGTGCTTCAGTGTTTTAATTTCAACAAAAAATGGAGTTGTAAAAGTTCAACTGGAAAGAAAGAAACAAACAAAAACAACTTTCATTTTGTGCATCATTTTGTCATGTTAAACACTTTGACACTCCAATGTGCCAAAGCAATAATAATATCAAGACCCCTTTAGCTCATGTTACAGAAATGACTATGTGAGCAACTCCTAACAGTTTCACAGTTACATTGTGTATGTGTCCATGCACAAATACAGGCTTAAAACACCAGACTTGCTTGTGGTTCTCTAAGGATGGAATTTATGTAGAGGCTAAATTGGCACTAAATACCACATGATGACCTTCAATGACCTGTCAATTCAATTGTATTTATATCACACCAAGTCATAATAACAACCACCTCAAGCTGCTTTATATTGTAAGGTAAAGACCCTAGAATAATACAGAGAAAATGCCAACAATCCCACGATCCCAGGACAAAAGGCATACTAAGGAAGAGAGCCAGACATGAATATTAGCTAATGATTACATGCAAAGCTTCCATTGCAAACTAGTTCATGTATTTATTAATTCTAGGTTGGACTATTGTAATTCATTATTATTAAGCTGTGCTATAAGCTCCTCGAAAAGCCTTCAGTTGATCCAGAACACTGCAGGGACTAGAAAGAGCAAGTATATTTCTCCCATATTAGCTTCACTTCATTGTCTCCATGTTTAATTGAGATTCCAATTTAAATCTTTCCTCACGTACAAGGTCCTAAAGAATCAGGCCCCACATCTTATCTTAAAACATCTTATCCTCACAGTATCTTAACAGACCACTTTGCTCTTAGACTGCAGTCTTACTTATGGTTGCTAAGGTATGCTTCTTCCTGCTCCTTTTTGAACATGAACGTTATTTGGAGTTGTGGTTGCTCGTTTTGCTTTGTTCATTTGTCTCTTTTAATTCTATTTTGTTGTACTTTTTCAACATGTTCAAAATGAAGATTCAATCAATCAATCAATAAGGTATCTAAACATAGAATGGGAGATAGAGCCCCCCTACTATGGAACCAGCTCCCAGTTTCACTCCTCGTGTGTTTAAGCACTACTGTATTTAATCATTAGTAATTATTAAACTCTGTCTGTCTATGCCACGGTCTGTATTTTGCCCCGTCTCTCTGTTCTCTTCTCTTTTCCCTCACTCAACCAATTAGGGCAGCTTGCTGCCCCTCTCTTTGCCTGCTTTTACCGATGGTTTTCTTCTTGTTAAAAGGGAATTGCGTGATTGTCTGGGTTTCTTTCTAATATTGTAAGGTCTTTAGCTTACAATATAAAGTGCCTTGAGGGAATTGTTGTTGTTAATTTGACCTATATCATTAAAGTGAATTTAACTGAACTCATAAAAGTAAAACCATATCTGCTGAAATCCATATTTGTTCATCTTTTCTGTCAATCACAGATTCACACATTCTTCTTTCTGGCTGTTGAAGCAATTTGAATAATTTTCTTTGACAGTAAACATTCACCTTTTTTTTTTTTTTTTAGCTCATCAGCTAGCTCATCAATGACAGCTGTAATTCTTGGCTGTTTGACATGATGTCTCCTAGTTTCTTTTTTTTTCATTGCCAAAGATGTTTGGAGACTCTTTGAATTTCTTCTCACTCATTATGGATGGATGTATTTCCACCATGGCAGCACGGTTGTACACTAGCTGTCTGTTTGTCATAAAATAATCTATAGCGTCTTATAATTTGGAGAATTAAGGGGACAAATAACAATAATAACAAATTTTCCAAATAAGGAATTTACCCCTTTTTTCACTACAAAAGCATTCTATTTGCTAGACCTTTACACTATACTGTAGGTGACAAGAAACCGTTGGTGCTGGGGGGTTGGTTTTCAGGGCAGTAAGTGTTGACCAATTCACATCCATAGTAGGTCTTGGACTGGTTGCACTGATTTATTTTTAAGGTTTGTGGTGTTGATTAGATTTACTGACTGAATTTGTACCTTTATACTAGCTTTAGTGGCTACAGGTTGGAAATCAGCCATATAGCTCACGTACCATCTGCTTATATCTTGTTGATCTCAGTTGGCTAAATCCACAAAGAGCAGTGAATATTGTAGTAGCTGGAGCTCACAAAACAAATTATCAGGTGACTTGCTTCCCCACGCTGCACTGCTAGGGTGCAGGGGTCATGTAGTACTAAATCTCTTACTCCAATATTTAGACGTTTGTAAAGGAAAACAGTGTATTCGCAGTACAGGGCACTCCACCACATGCTCAATGAATCAGGAAGCAGCACATATCCTGCATAAAGTAAGAAAGCCACAGTTTCAAAACAAGCTTGACGAGGGAGAGGCAGTAAACACTAACCTACTGCAGTAACATATAGTGTTTGTTCAATTTCTCCTGATTTGTCAGAGTAACCTGGTTACTTCTGCATATGTAAAGGGTAGATTTGCTAGGTGGCTTTTGTGCTTTTGTTTCTGGTGTAGCTGTAACACATTGTGTCTCAAATGTGTGTGATGTATTTTTCAGATAGATGAACGAGGTCCCGGGTTCCATTTCTCTTCTCATAACTGAAAATGACAGGAGGACACAGGCTAGATATTTAATCTGCTGCCCCATTCGGTTTTGCGGGAAGAATTTGCCAACTCTTGAAGGCAGAACCATTAGGAAGGTTATGATGGTGAAAAAAGAAATATTACTGAGACAAAAAGAAAGACAAGAAATAGACTAATGGATGGGGATATGCTTTTGTTGCTGTTTTGTTTAATGCAGCTAAAGTGTGCTTACTGAACACTTTAAAAAGTAATACCTTTTTGCCTGAATATTCAGGTATTAATCCAATCACCAATATATGATGTGATGGAGGGGGAATGTTGTGTGTGTGTGTGGGTGTGAAATGGTTTTTGGGGGCTTTTTCAGTTTTATCAGAATGGTGGGGATCCCATAGCAAACAGCTGGTCTGCAGATTGCAGCTCCTTGTTGATGAATAAGTTCAGAGGAGAGTGGCCAGATTAAGTGGGGTAGAAAGGATACCATGACCCAAATAACCACAATTGTGACGAGTGCACAGAAAGCACAACACACCTTAGCCTTTGCCCGACCCTTCTTTCATTCACAACATCCACCATGATAATCAAACATATCATAAATCAAAAGTAATTTTAGACAGGTTTCAGTTCAGTGGATGTCAGGGACCTCACCAGTTGGCAGGTCTGAATTTGAATGTGGTAAAATGTTAGCTTGGCAGCATGAATGTGAAGCACTTTTTAAATAAGCATGAATAGTTAGCATCACATAATCTTAAAGGGAGGTTTCCAAAACATCAGAGTCCACGACTCCAAGGAATGAAAGCTATTTTCAGAGCAAAGGCAGGCCTGACCTAGTATGGGATGACTGCTTATATTGAAGCGATTGTTGGTATAATTCTCTCTCTCTGGTGCTCCGTGTATATTTTGTGAGGGTTTTTTTTTTATAATCCATAGCATTTCAGTTAATCTTCTTTTCATTTCTCATGATGTTTAAGATCAATAGGTTATCATGTCTTTTTAGACCTCAGAGATAGAAATCATATAAATCCCCCTGCTGAGTCCATGCGGAGCTCTTCCCGGGTCAGCCCTGTGTGGATGTTGAACTGCTATCAGGCATCTGTCAGGGATTGACCGTGTGCAGATTGTGGTTGCTAACTTAAAAACACAGAGCATATGTGTGCAGCTCTATTTTCCTGATAAGTCAGTCACCCAATATCTTTCTTAGAGATTATTTCCTATGATGTTGAAAAGGCTGAGCAATATGTCAAAAGGTATGAGACTATACAGGAGCTTCACGAGTCAGAAATGTAACTGGCAGTAATAACAGAAATAAACACAGCTTTAATGTAACTTCAATATAAAAAAAATGCAATATCTTCAGATGTTAAAAGGTTGTACTGGGCAGCCAGAACTGAAAAGGAAAAAAAAAAACACTGTATAATAGATAAGAACTATCCTCCATTTTGTAGAATGAAAAATAAACAAACATGCAGCTGACTCGGTTTCTGTGAAATGTAATAAAAGTAAAGCAAGCATAAATACACTATTTAAATGAACTAAACAGATTAGCTGTCATACATTAAAGCGTTTCCATACCAAGGCTTCAAATACTGACATCCTATCAAATACTGCTTGCTTTGCACAAATAAGTCCAAAGGATTCCTTTATCTAGTCAATTGAAGCCTTGATGTGCTAGCTATAGATAAGGGTCTTCTGTCAGTGAGTAACAAAGGCCAAAGGTAGCCAAACATATGAACAGTTTTGGAACAGAAGTTCACAGTATAGAGAATTATACTGCATAGTGTTCACTCCTACCAGTAGGAGAAAACTGAACCTTTTCATTCCCTTAAGAAAAATGTCAAATTTTCTTTTCTCCAAAATGTGACATTTACCCAGTCTTCTAAAAACCATCCTGTCACAAGCCCTCAGCCAGCATTTGTACTGCTTACATTGCAATGATGTGATGATATGAATCACTTCTACAGGAAAAACACTCAGCAAAGCCCCCAAGCATTCTGATTTACAAAGTTGGATTAGAGTCTTAAGCTATCTCCCCAAACTCTTCCCCGCCATTCTTGTTCTATCATTTTCT